TGCAGCGCAGCTGTCCTGCGTCTGACCTCAAAGTGCACAAGCTTCAAACTTCAGCGTTGGCTGCGATTTTGATGCTGAAATCGCGTTCGGTGTGAACGCACCTATTTTGCGAGTATGCCTCTGTGAACAATAAGCCATGGTCAGAGCCCTAACAATTCTTTGTTAGGCTGATGGTCCTCTGTTGCATGTGAACAGACAGTTTGGGTTGTCAGTGTTGAACTTGTTTGTCCACCATGTTGAGGTACTGCTTATAAGACTGAGCTTAGCTCTTGGAGAAGAGATGAAACGTTTCCATGAAGAAAAACCCATTCAGGGGATCTACTGAACTTTTTTTTTTAGAATACAGTGCTAAACTTTGGACTATAGCTACACTATATAGTTTATCTCAGAATATATTGTAATAATTTATGGGATTCTTTACCTTTTTAGTATTATTTAAAGAACAGAAACAACAAATGTTACCTAAATATCTGTTAATTATTAATTTGAGGCATGTTGCAGGATCTTTATTAGTCTTTACAAGCATTTACCTTTTTTTTCTTAGCGTTTGAGTTATAGCTAACATAAAATGTTCACAATGTTTAACAGCATGATAAACTGACATTGTTTTATTATTTTCTGGGAAGCATTATTTAAATCTGTAGATCTTTTCTACCTCAGTCAAGTGTTAGAAACTTGTAACTTTATTCATTGATTTCTGCAAACAGGTGGATTGAAATAGATATTACCTTCAGTCTGTTCTGACACTTGTTACTTTTATTCACACTGCTGTCTTGTTTTGAAATGATAGACAAAAGTTGTTTTTTATCATATTATCATATTCCAAATGCTATTTTAAAAAATGTTTTTTAACAAATGTCCACTGTCTGATTCCTGCAGGTGGAGAAGCATCGTCTGCAAAGGGAAAAGCAGCTGCGTGAGGAAGCAGAGAGAGCCAGGGACGAGCTGGAGAGGAGGTTAATTCAGCTGCAGGACGAGGCTCACATGGCCAATGAGGCACTGGTAAGGTTCAGAGGCTTGACTCGGTCTCCACTTCACATTTTAGCTTGCAGTGAGACACAAAAAAAAGCAAAAACATTTTCTGCTTAGAAGGCATTTTTATACGTTGGTCATTCTCTCTGCAGTTTCTCTGTAGATTTAAACTTTTCTTGTTTCTTCCTTCCCTCTCCACTCCCGTTTGGCCTTTAATCTCCCCTCCACTCCCCGCTCCTCCTTTAGCTGCGTTCAGAACAGACGGCTGACCTGCTGGCTGAAAAAGCCCAGATCGCAGAGGAGGAGGCCAAGCTGCTGGCCCAGAAAGCTGCCGAGGCTGAGACGGAGATGCAGCGCATCAAAGTGACTGCCATACGTGGCCAGGAGGAGCGACGCATCATGGAACAAAAGATGCTGGAGGCTGAGATGCGCGCTCGGAAGATGGCTGAGGAGTCAGAGAGAAGGTGGGGAGGAGAATAAAGAGTAACGCGGGGAGTACCTTCTCTGCCGCAGTGACTTTGAAGTATATCTGTTTAGCTTTGGGAGCTTTTGTGTCTTTGTCACTCTTGAATCCAGCTCTCATACACAAATCCTCCACTTTTGTTTTTATCTCACACATATGCACTCACTCACACAACATGCTGCATTGTTACACCTTTTTTTTAGAAATATATATATTTTATTCATTTAATTTAAAAAACAAAACACATTACATACAACAAAACAATGCAAATCAAATAAAATGAAAGGCAGCAGATGAAGAAAAAAATCTTATATCTGCCCGTTTCCAAAAAAAATTTTAAAGGTGCAGTATGTAACTTTTCTAAAAATATATTTTTAACATATTTGTTCACTCTGTCACTATCTCCTGACAGATTGATATTAGACAGGTAAGCTA